GTCCTCCAGAAGGCCCGGTGGGACTCTGAGGTTTGAAATCAGCACACTAAGGAATCGACGTGTTTGAACTGTGGTGCCAGCGAAGAACATTGAAAGTACCAGGGACGGCTCAAAGGACAAACGGATCTGTCTGGGAAGAAGTACATCCGGCGTGCTCCTCCTCATGTTGTTGGGAGAGGCCAGTCCCTGGAGAAGGGGCAGTGAAAGAGGAAGACCCTCCCTGAGCTGGCTGACACAGTGGCTTCTCAACGGGCTCCGGCCTAGGACCAATGGTGAGCGTGGTACCACCAGGCAGTGTTCGTTCTGTTGTGCACAGGGTCACGATGGGTCCGACGGTCTTGACGGCACCCAGCAACAGGGATGCCAGCTGAGAGAGCTAGAGTGAGCATGCGTCACCAGGACCACCTAAGCATCTTGGACTGATGCTATCAGCTACCTGCCTGAGACGTCTCATGATAAGAGAAAAAATAATCCTTTATTGTCTAAGCACGTCCCGGCTTCCACAAGCCCTATGACCATTAAAGGTGGGTGAGGTAGTAGAGGAAGGTGTTAAGATCATAGCATGGCAACTGTAGGGTCAGGTGCTTACAGGTAAAGTGATCTTGATTGCTTATTCTTAAGCAAGACTTTGAGAAAGGGTTGCGAGAGCAGGCCAAGTGGCAGTGACTTGGTGCTAGGAGCCTTGCCAACCTTGCTGATTTAGAAAATGGTGTTTTCTGTCTCCACTGGGCTCACATTGCAGGCTGCTTGCCCAGAGCCACCACGGAGGACTGTATGGCCCGGTCCTGTGCCGTCTTCACAATGGTGCCTGTGTTGGCGCTCCCTGCTGACCCTCTGGTGAGGAGCTCCTTCATTTGGCCCGACCCTCTAGTTTACCAAGCCTAACATCCTTGGTCAGGGATCAGTCTCGCCTGATAACGTGTTCCCAGGACATATACGCAGTCTCCCCACCGTAACTTCCCAGGAGCTTTCTGACCGTGTTTCCTCCAAGACAGACTGGGTCATTCTTCTAGCCGTCTATGGATGCTCGATATTCTTCCCCAACACCATAATTCAAGCGTGCCACGTCCTGTTTGTCTTCCTTTTTCATTGTTCAGCTGTCACGTGCATTGGAGGCAAATGAAAAGATCATCATTTGGGTCAGGTGCAACTTAGTCATCAGAATCACATCTTCATCTTTTCAGATTTTCAAGAGATTTTTTTGCAGCAGATTTGCCCGAGGCAATACATATCTAGTTTATTGGCTGCTGGTTCCACGGGTGTTGCGTGTGGAAATAATTCAATGAAATCCTCAACAACTTCAAGCTGTTCTCCATGCATCAGGATGTTGCGCGTGGCCTCAGTTTGCCTTCTTGAGGTTGACAGGTGAACCATACTAAAGGTGTACACTCTTTGATCTTCGTTGCTAAGTGCCTCAGCTTCTTCTCCTGTTCAGCAAGCAAGACTGTGTCATTTGCATATTGGAGCCAGTGTATGGGCCGTCCTACAATCTCTATGATGTTGGTGATTCCAAGCTCTAAGTGGTGATTGATCGCATTATCTTAAGACACAGGGACATCTCCTGATTGTGAAGTCCTGCTAAATCTTATGGACCATGATCAGAATCCCCAGCTTACAGCTCTGCACCACTCATGTGGAACCAGGGCTAGACCTGTAGTCCCCAGGTCAGCTGTGTTTTTTGTTTGTTTTACATTATTTTTATTTTTCTTCCGAAGGAGAGGCTTCAACAAGCCCTTACAAAACCTGGTCTTTCGTCCATAAAAAAGGTGCCCTTTCAAAATTCTGCAGGACCCAGAGATAGTCAACTCTCCACTACACAGGGGCAGGTAGAAACCCATTGCCAGCGGGGTTCCAGCCGATACACACACACACACACACACACACACACACGCACGTTTCCTCTACAAGCTGTGTTTGGACATCTCCCGGTGACTCGTGGATGACCGCAGACCAATTCGCCCCGTTCTACCTGTGTCCTCTTCTTCTTGGAATGCCTTCCAGAGGAAGGTCCACTGAAAAGTGGCTTCCCAGGGGATCACTGGCCAGTTCAACTCCATGCAGAGCAGTCAGCTCAGAAGGTTACAGCAACTGCTTTCTAAGATGCCAGTGGGATCATCTTTTTTTTTTTTTTTCCAGTGGGATCATCTTGATAGATTTATTTTCCCCCAAAGGACACAAGCTCATCACAGACACTTGGCAGGAAGAATCCTTAAGAAACGTGAGAATTGCCCTGGTGAGAAGACCCCCACAGGGCTGCACTGAGCAGTGTGTTTTCTTCCCCATCACAATGCACCTGCGTGTTCTTCCAGGGTAGCCAGGGTGGATCTGTGAGGATTTCACGGGAAAACCTTACCCCATTGTGGTAGTTCCAAAATTTTATATCAACTTGATAAATAAGTGTAGGGGTGGAGTCTAGCTTGTCAATCAGGTCACAGCCTGATGATGCCTCCTTGTGGGTGGGGCCTTCTCCTAAGGAGGGTCCTGGGAACTTCCTCTCTCTCTCTTCCTTCACCTTCCTGATGAGGAGCCACACGGAGACCTGCACATGCCCTGGCGATGCATCCACCGCCATGGAGTCCCCAGGACATTGCACACACTGGCCTGTGATCTTCCTGCATTCTGTATCCTTGCATGTAGCTGTTGTGAGTCTGAAGAGGGATTTGTGGACTAGTATTGGACTTACAGACTTGATCTGGACTGGGCTGGGATGTTTTCCTGATATATAATTACTTCTTGATGCAAAGCTCTCTCTTACACATGTATGAGTGTCTCTGGATTTGGTTCTATAACCCGGTCTAACACACCCATCCACCTATAAAAATTGATCCTGCCCCTTTAGACTTCTTTTTGTCCTCCAAGCTCGAACTACATTGAACAGAAACACGGATTGAGTCTGTTTTGACGTGGTGTGGATGGAAGGGCAGAGAATTCTTTGAGGGCTGATTGGATAGATGGAAACAACCCCTTCAGAAGTGCACAGACCCAGAGAGAGGCTATGTGGGGGGTGGGGGGTGGGGCAGGAAACAGCTTCGCAGTTTGATGTTTTTGTTGAAGAAAGGTTTGTATGATTTGGGCTGTAAGACGTTTGACCGAGCCCGGCCAACGGAAGCATTCATACCTGCTGAACGTTCCCTTTCACCCCTCACAAATGATGCTGTCTTTTCCAACCCACTGGATTGCACGCTTCTCATCCCACAGATGACAGGGCATGTCTGCCTGCCACCTGTGAGAGTGGGGGGGGGGGCGGGCGGCAGGTCAAATGGAAAGAAGAAAAATCTGGTCTGCTGGCTTGTGGCATTTCCAAGTCCTACCCAGGAGCCCTGTTCTGATGCTATTTCCTGATATTCAAAGGAAAGCTGTCAAGGATAAGAGTCCTAACACCTCCCTCTCCTGTGGCTTCCTGGGCTTCTGTGCAATGACTGCATGGGCTGGTTGGCAGTTCTCCTCCACCCAAATGGCTTTCTAGCACAAATGCTGGGTTTCTAGGGTTCCTGGGTGGAAGTCTGGGGAGAGTTTGGGAGCCATTCTTTTTTTTACTTGAAGGGCTCTTGTGTTAGTCTGGGTGGACTAGAGGGACAAATTCATAGACACTTATGTGTATAAGACAGAGCTTTATATAAAAGTTTATTAAGAAAGCATCCCAGCCTAGTCCAGTTCAAGTCCCTGCTCCGACATTAGCTGATACCAGTCCATAGATTCCTCTTGGACTCCTCTTCAGACTCACGCAACACATGCAATGACACCGAATGCAGAAAGATCACAGGGCAGTGGGTGGAAAGTCCTGTGGATCCAGTGGCATTGTAAGCATCTCAGTACTGGCGTGGGTCTCCATGTGGCTCCTCCAGCTCCAGGATTCTGGCTCCATCAGCGTAGCTCCATGTGGTTTGTCAGCAGGAAGACGAAACAGCGAGAGTCTGTGTCCCACCGCCAGGGAGGAAGACAGGAATTCCCAGAATCCTCAGGAGAAGGTCATGCCCACACAGAGGCATGATTGGCTATGGCCTGATTGACAGGCTAGACTCCACCTCTATAATATTTAACAAGTTGACATGAAATTATGTAACTACCACAGGCTCCATCTTCTAGGAAGTTTAGTCCAGGAGTCCCTGGGCTTCACAGGCATGCACACCCTCCACGCACACATATTCACACACACCTGCACACCCACTCCGCCCCTGTTGGCAGAGCTCTACCTGTGAAGGGGACATTTCTGCTCAAGCTCTTGAGCCCTTTCCCACCCTGCGCCCTTCAGGGAGGAAATGGAGACCCTCATTTCCGGCTCAGGGGACCTTACCTGCCGAGTGGAGCAGCCACACAGGGAGGGAAGGCACATGGGTAAGGAGAAGGACTCCCCAACAGAAAAGGGCACTTGTCATAGGGAAAGCCATTTTATTGTCAAGCTTCTCAGAGAATAGTACAAACAACAGAGAGTTTAAAAAAACCCTAAAAATTAGTTTTAAAAAAGTGCTCCACAGCGCCCCCTTTTCCTCCCCACAGATGACGTGGCCCTGTGTGTGGACAAAGAGAAACTCTGTAGGTTCCACCCGGGGCTGTCCCCAGCCAGGTCCCTGGAACCAGCAGGTGCGCTCCAGGGACAGCAGTCTCTCAGCCAGGTGCCAGGTGCCCTAGGCTGGCCTAGCTGAACCACCCCTGGGCTAGCACACTGGAGCTCCGACAGGGTTATCCTGCCCCTCTAGGGAGGTCCCAGCAGGGCATGCTGGGGCCTCCATGCCATCTTTCTCCCATCCACTGCAGCAGCACTCCCGGAGACCCTCCTGAGGGGGGGGGCCCTGGGCATGTGCCAAGGCTGCAGTGGGCAGCATGGCACCAAGCACCACCCAGCCAGGGGTGGAGTCAAGAAGGTCGCTACCGGAGGACAGCATTGAGGGCCATGGGCCCAGCAGTTGGCTATGCTTGAGAAGCCCACAGGAATGTGTAGTTTGGAGTATGTGCGTGCGCGCGCGCGCGCGCATGCGCACACATGCACACTTCCTGTACCCTCAAGAGTCAAATCACCATAAAACAAAGCAATGGGGGCACAAAAAGGTTATTCACTTTCACACCCAGGTCCTCCTTAGAATCATGTGAAATCAGGAGTTCCCCTTCGGGAGGGTTTAGGAGTGGGGAGAAAAGCCCCCCAACCCCAACCCCACGGGCCAGTCCCAGCAGCGTTTCCCTTGCCACCCTCACCCCAAGAGACCCTAAGCTGCTCAGGTGGGCTTAACGAACATTTCAGAGAAACCCGGAGGCTGCCAGCGCTGTGAGCACCCCAGCCAGCTCCCGCCCCACTGCCTGCGTGGGGGCAGCCTGGGCAGCGGCCAGCACACTCCAGGCGGAAGCAGTCTAGCAACCCTCACCCTTCCTTTCTCCACTTCCTCTCCCAGCACGTGTGCACCCCCGGCAGGCAGCACCCCAGGCCTGCAACCGTAGACACCCCTGCCTCGCCCACCCCAATGGCTGCTCCTCTGGGGGCTGTGTGGGTGCCCGGGGCTGTCTCTGTTTTGAGAGCCGGTCTATATTGCACTTGTTGTGGAGCTGGGGTTTGGGCTTTGTGGCCAGGGGAGGGTAGTATGGTCTACACTATCGACGAACTGCACATCACAAAGTTGTCCCCTGTGCCAGTCTGGCTCTAGCTCAAACCCTGCCCTCAGGGGCACCACCCCCCTCCCCACACCTGATCCCCACAGGTGTCCTGAGGCTTCCCCACCCACGCCCAGATCGGGGCCCTTCTCCGTGCGTGGTTAAGGACTTCCTGCCAGACGTCTTCTCACACGGTAGTGACCCTCATGACGAGCTCTCGGCTGCCTCCGGGGCCCCGCTGTTCATGAGGTCTTAAGTGACTCAAGATGTGTAGGAGGGTGTAAGCACAGTGGTGATCGGACAGAGGGCCTGAGGGGTGACTGGCAGCCCTGGCGGGCCCTTCCTCGGGCGCAGGGCTGTCCACAGTCTCCTCCTGCTCCTCGGTGGGCCCATTGGCCTGGGTGGATGAGGACGTCTGGGGGTTGGCCCTGCCTCCTGACGGTTGGTCCTCCAGGTCTTTGGCCTTGTCATAGTTCAGCACTTTCCACTGCTGGTTGACAGCCTGCCACCGTTTAAAGATGCGGTACACAGAGGGTCCCTCGTGGATGATGAGGCCTGAGGCAGCAAGGTGGGGGGAAAACCAAAGCCAAGTGAGAAAGGGCAGGTGAATGCAGGGAGAAAGCCCCAAGCCAAACCCACTGCCTCAGAGTTCATTCCTTTTCATGGTGGCCCTTTATCGGCTTTCTGAGGCCGTAAATCTTTATGGGAGCAGATAGCCTCAGCTTGCTCCCAGGGATCAGCTGGTGAACTTGAACCGCTGGCCTTGCTGTGAGCAACCTAACTCGTTTCACAGGGCCTCCTTTTCGTTATAAACAGGTGTCGGCACTGGCGTGAGCTAGGTTTCTATAGTCTTTGACTTGTTTCTTTCACACCCGCCTTTCAGCTCTTAATCATGGTTACCATCCTTAGGTTCCGAGGACGCAAGGAGCCCTCAGGAGGCAGAAGGGGAAGGGTCAGCATTCCGTGTTCACGAGAGAGCTGACCACCGCCACCCAACGCCCTTGCCTATGCCACTCACCCCTTCCTACTTCTTGGCTTGACGAAACCGAAATTCATTCTTTAAAACACAACGTAAATATTTTTGCTCACTCTATCATGTACCCTTGGTACATGGCAGGTACTGAATGAATTGTCTGATTTCAAAGCAGGGCTTTGAACTTGTTCATTCTGGTTCCATACCCACCCTACCCCTTCTGAGAATTTGCATTTCCACCTCCAGTATACAGAATCAGAATCTACATTTTAACAAGTTCTATGTGTACCTAAGAGTCACCTGGCAATCTATAGGGCTCACCTGGAGAACTTGTTAAAGCAAAGATTGTGATTCCTATCTGGGGTAGAAATGCAAATTCTCCAAGGGGAGGGGTTGCCGAACCAGCAAGAGGGCCAGTTTGAAGACCTCTTTCAAAGGCATCCCAAAAGAAACATCATGAACATTCCATACCTGCTGAATGCTGTCTGCAATGCAATGAGTCCATGCTTTGCCCAAGAGCCCAATGCTACCGAGACACAAACACCCCCAAGGAAAAACAACCTTGAAGTAGTTGTATTGGCCAGAGGCAGTGGTAGAAGCGGAGTTGGAAACACACCCCATCAGGAAATCAGGCAAATAAATACTCATTGTGAACCTAGGATGTGCCAGGCTTTGCAGACAGTAGAAATTCCCCTTGTAAGACCTGGCTTATAGCACTCAGTGATTCCAGATGCTGGTAAATGCTGTGGGGAAGATAAAATCAGGCTCAGTAACCACTAGCTACAGGAGTTGGGAGTTTTGCTTTAGCTAGGGTGGTAGGAAGGGTCTTTGTAAGTGACCAGATTTTAACATTGGTAAAGCGGGACACCATTGATAAAACTCATTTCCTGGCAAAATAGCCACATGGCAGCCGAAAACCATATACCCTAGCTTGTCGTGCACTTTCCAAAAATCAGGACTTTTTTTGTTTGTTTGTTTGTTTTAATCGGGACTTTTTTAAAATGCCGCAGGATGCGGGGAACATTGTTAAAAATCGGGACTGTCCCGCCAAAAGCGGGATGTCTGGTCACCTTATCTTTGGGAGGAGGTGGTATTCGAGCTGAGACTTCAATGAGGCGAAGGAGGGTAGAGAACACTTTAGTGGAAGGCATTACAAACTCAGAGATCATGAGGTGGGAATGAGGGGAACGAAAGCCCAAAGGAAGGTGTGCGTGACCCAGGTACAGGGGAAGGTGGGGAGGGAGACATTTGCAGATATGGTGGGAAGAGGCTGGGTGATGCCAAGACCTGTCGTCGTGGTGAAGAGTTTATATTGGAGCCTGGATATAATGCGAAGCCATTGAAGGGCCTGCATAGGGAGGGGGGTATGACCTGATGCGGCCTGTGGAAAGTCCACTCTGAGGAAACGGTGGGCGGAAGAGGGACAAGCGTAGGAGTGGGAAACCAGCCTGAGGTGCGAGAGCGCTTCGAGCTGGAGATGATGGCGGCCCACCAGCTCCTAGCTGCCGTCAAGTTGACCCCAAATCGTGGAGACCCCATGAATGTCAGAGTAGAACTGTGCTCCAGAGGGGATTTCAAGGGCAGATTTTGGGAAGCAGATTGCATCCTTCTAAGGCAGCAGTTCCCAACCTGTAGGTTGCAACCCCTTTGGGGGGGGGTGTCAAATGACCCTTTTACAGGGGTCACCCGATTCATAACAGTAGCAAAATTACAGTTATGAAGGAGCAACAAAAATATTTGATGGTTGGGAAAGGTCACCACCATACGAGGAACTGTATGAAAGGGTCGGGCATGAGGAAAGCTGAGAACCACTGCTTTCAGGTGTCTCTGGGTGAGCTTGACTCCTCCCACCTTTGGGTTGGCAGCTGAGCACAGTTGGCATCCCAGGGCACTGATGGTAGCTGAGACTTGGAATTGAGCAGTGGAGACATGAAGAAAGTATTCCAGTCGGGAGGTACTTTGGAGGGAACGCTGACAGATGAAGTGAGTGCAGAGAGAAGCGTGGAAAACTCTGTAAGCACTGGGATTTGGCCGTGGTCCATTGACTTGGGTGTAGTGGGCAAGGGGGTAGGGGCAAGGCGTTGGTGGCGTGAGGGTGGCAGTGAGGGTTGGTTGTTGATAGGGGCCATTACGGGTCATTGAACAGAACACAGCACTTCCCGGTCCTGCACCATCTTCACAATTGTGCTCCTGGTTGAGCCCATTGATGCAGCCCCTCTGCTCATCTCCCTCGGGGAGCCCCTCCTCTCTTTGGCTGCCTCTCTCCTTTTCCAGGTTCTACTGTCTCCACCAGAACCACGATGCCACCTGGACTCTATCCCCTGAATTTCGAGGACATCTCATGGAAAGACTTGACACCTTGAACCCCAATGACAGAGACCTGATGAGCTGTGGGAGGACATGGAGACCACCCATCACGAAAAAAGTCCAAGGTCGTTAAAAAGACAGGAAAGAAAGAAAAGATCAAAGCGGACGTCAGAGGAGACTCTGAAACCTGCTGTCGTGGAGTAGTTAAAGCAAAGGGAAGAAACGATGAAGTCAAGGAGCTGAGCAGAAAATCTCAAAGGGCGGCTCGAGAAGACAAAGCTGAATGTTATTTTAAAAGATGCCAGGCTATTAAAAAGTATAGCG